AGAGAGTCCGCCCTCGCCTGCTCGGACAGACTCTCCTGCGAGGTGTCATAGTCCGAGGTCTCCGGCGGCTTGACCGGCTCACGAAGGGGCCGAGCCAGAGTCCCGCCGGCCACCGTCAGACCGGCCTCCTGTCCGACCGGCTCCCTCGAGCCAGCAGGACTCGATCGTCGGTAGGCCTTCTCGAGCACCGGTTCGGTCGGAATCGGCCCGGCGTCCACAAATCGGACGGTCGCTTCGGACGTGACGTCGTCTTCAATGTCAGAGCTCGCCAGACGATCCGACACGTCATCATGGGCCCGATGATGATGAGGCTGATGATGATGATGAGGATGATGAGAATGATGATGATGCTGATGTTGAAGGGGATGAAGATGGTGCAACAGACGACCGCCTCCAGACAGCGCTGCTTCACTCCTCACCTCTGCCGTCATGTCGGCCTTTCGCGATTCGGGGGGCGGCCTACTCGGGTCGGAGCAGGGTACAGCCAGAGTTGGCATACATTCACAATGGCAAAGGTTAAAATCGCGAGAATGTGTGAAAAAAATGGTCAATTGTGTCTTTACAAGTGGGCCTCATCGACGCCGGTTGACGGGGAACAGGGAGTTTAGTCAAGTAATGTCGACTTCGGCATTGGATGAAAGTTTGTACCGGTATCGACTGCGATGATTGTGACTGGATGATGATGATGATAATGATGATGATGGCTGTCGTAGTTAACTGATTGCATGCACATTTCAATTTACTCCAACCCGGACACGTGGATGCACACGAGTCCACATCCACCTGCCCTTACACACTCATCCATTCCTCTCCCCTTGTTGCTACAGTCTGATCAACCCTTTTGGTCCGGCCCCTTTGATGGCTTGTCATGCTGGAGACAGACACAGGCAGAGGCATAAGTGCACATTATGCACACAAACGGTGATTTCAGGCCTGTCTGACCGCTGCTCGCTCGTCTGATTGGCTGGCTGCAGGCAATCGGGGCCGTTGAACTGGCCAATCAGAGCAGAGATAGACGGCGACGTCTGGGCATCCAGACCGAGCCGTCCGGTTGGCAGAACGACTGGTTTCGTCGACCTCTCCGAGTTGGTGCATCACAGAACTGCGGCCAAAATGGGCTCCGCACGAACACATGGCGCATGGACTCAAGCTGCCTCGACACACGACTACAGGAGGGATAACAAACAGGCTGTGTGTGTGTGAGAGAGAGAGATGGAGGGAGAGAGAAAGAAATTGTGAAAGAGGCTACAGGCAGGAGTAGGCTGCAGACTCGTCATGCCAACTGACGGCGCACACCCACTTTTAGAAGAATGTGTATGGTTAGATCTACGAACGAGCATTTGAGGACGCATTAAAAAGATGCACAACTAAAAGTGAATTGATTAAGATATTTCAGGATTCATATTTGAGATAATTATGAAGCAATTTTAACAGTCTATTCTATTCTGCGCCAAATAATTCAAGCACAATTTGCATCTAAATTGTACAAATCATTCGAAGTTTGCCAGTTTTCGAAAAAGCTCTACTTAAAATCATTTAGTAGACCGAATAAATACGTGAATTAACCATTTAATCATCGATACGCTCATGCATAGAGCTGCGCCTACATGAACACATTAAAGAAGGTATATGTGTATGTAAGAATGTAGTGTAATTATAGATAC